CCGCATGTGTGAAGACAGTTCAGACAGAGACTGCTAGTGCCAGTTACATGTATCAGTTCATGCGTGAAATGAGACGATTTTATAGGTGCCTGAAATTTACTGCCAGCCATAGGTTTGGCAGTTGAAATGGAAAGTGCTGTTGCCAGATGCAGGTACAAATAAGTCGTATTGCAGAGACTGTATTACAGGGGCTGTAACGCCTGGTTATCTGTAGTGGCGAGCTGTGTTGGTGATTGTACCGTAGAGTGGGCCTGTAATCAAACCACACTTACAGTACTAGGTCATGCAGTGTTGAGCTGCACACACCCATCAGTGGGTAGTTGTGAATTCCGTTTGTAGTTGCATGGAGGTTTTTATGTGTGTTTCTAGGACAGAGCTAATCATATGGTGTATGTATAACTAGTTGGGGATCCCATAACCTGATCCGATGCAAGTATATAATGTCCAACTGATCCCCCTTCACCTCCACCTCTCCCCCCTTCTCCCCCTTCACCTCTCCCACTCATTATCATTACCCTCCCACAGTCAAGCTTGAAAGGCAGCATTTAGGGCTGATGTCATGTCATCTATAGACCCTGATAGGGAGATGAATGAGGGAGGATTAAGGGAGGAATGGCATAAGGACTTGTGTGGATGCATGTATGGTATGGTGTGGGCACTGTGTATGGACGAGCGGTCATGTCAGAGAGGAGAGAAGAAGCATGGCAAGGCGCAGTGCAATGCTGGTGACTTCTGAGTCGACTCAAAAGCCATTGCGCATGGGCGAGGGTCACATCCGAAGGAAGGAGTGTGGCAAGGCGCAGTGCAATGCCGCCCCTCAAGAGGCGCAGTGCAATGCCGCCGCAATGCTGGTGTTGGTAACCCTTCTTCTCTTACTCGTGCAGTGTTGGTGTTGGCATCCTTGCCCTCCATCATGCGCCACCCACCTCCCATTCTTTCCTCCCCCTATCCTCCACCCCCCTCCCATCCGCCTACCCACTCACCGCCCATCGGCGCGCTTCTCCCCCTGAATGGTTACACACAGCTGCCTCGCGCCCCCATGGTGGGAAACCGCTCGAAGTAACGAGGTGACTTTTGAGTCGACTCAAAAGTCACCCTGAATGGTAACGCACAGCTGCCTCGGGCCCCCATAGTTGGTAACCGCTCCTCCCTTACTCTTGTTACGAATTTCGCTGTGCCCGTGAATATCTTCCCATCCACTCACCGCCCATCAGCGCGCTTCTCCCCCTGAATGGTAATGCACAGCTGCCTTGCCCCCCCGTAGTTACGGTGCTCGTTCAGATAGATGCCCTACCGTGTTGCATTCGGATAATAAAGAAAGTGATTCAAAGGGAGGAGGGGAGGAAGGGGGGAGAAACAGGGTGAACAGGGATGCGATGCTTGTTCAGAGACATGCCCTGCTGTGCGAAAATTCATGGGCAAACGAGATGGATCAGCAAGCAAGGTAACACAGTTACCACACTTGTGGATCAACTGGAACGAGACAAACTGTTATGAGATGGATTGTAGATAGAAACTATGCTCACACTCGTGAGGCGCCGCCTACCTGCTCATATGTGCCTGTGAAGAGAGCAGCTTATAACGAGTACAAGAAACGCACCTGCCATGTGCCAAGCTTGAAGCGACCAGACATGATGGGGACGGTGAGCGAGCACCCCATTAGCGATGACTTCACGTGGGCTGCAGGATGAAGTGGGGTGAGGAAGAAGAAACAGGGGGTGGCAGCACGGTGAATGGTAGCGCACTTGACAGCACAAGGGCATGAGTCTGCTTTTGAGTCGACTCAAAAGGGCATGATGGGGACGGAGAGACGGCAGCAAATTAGCGCGGACTTTGACGTGGGCCGCAGGGTGGGGTGCAGTGCAGTGGGGAAGAAAGAATGGGTGGTGGCAGGAAGGTGAATGGTAGCACAACGGTGTGATGGAGAGTGGTTCTGAGAGGGAGCAGGCCATGCGAGTTTCTGCGGACAGCCCATATCTTTTCCCATGTGAGGTTCTGAGAGAGAAACTCACATGGGCTGCTCTAAGATATGGGAAAAAATGAGGAAGAAGAAACGACTTTTGAGGCGCCTCAAAAGTCGTCTCTTATCTCACATGGGTTGCTGTAAGATGTGGGAAAATATGGGGAAGAAGAAACGGATCAAGACAAATATAGACTGACGGAGTGGAGGAGGGAAGAAAGGAAAGAAAGGCAGTGAGAGGGCTGACCTGGCATGTCGTCATAGCCCTCGTCCAGGTGGCAGTAATGGTTGCCCTCCGGTGCAATGCGGTTGAGAGCGATAAGGTGCAACGGGGTTGCGAAGGGGGTTGGAGAGGAAGAGGAACGCACCTGGCATGTCATGTCATCATTACCCTCCCCGAGGCGACAGCGGTGATAATGGGTGCCCTGCGGTGCAATGGGTGTGTGGTGGTGACCCTGTGGTGCAAAGCGGTTGAGAACAATAAGGTGTTAAGGGAGGGAGGAAGGATTCACCTGGCATGTCGTCATAGCCCACGTCCAGGTGGCGATAATGGTTTCCCTCCGGTGCATTTTGGTTGAGAGGAAGGGAAGGGGAAGCAACGCACCTGGCATGTCATCATAGCCCTCATCTAAGTGGCGGTAATGGTTGCCCTCCGGTGCAATGCGGTTGAGAGCGTCCTCCATGTCCAGAGGCACGTCTGGGCTGGCGTTCTCATTGATGGTGAGGCTGGCGGATGTGTGCAGCACTGGGGGGTGGGGTGGGGGGTGGTGGGGGGACGCGGGGGGAATGATCGGGCGCATTTATGGGCCTGTATTATGGGGGGATGCGCCTGCATTTAAACGTTCTCGTTGATGGTGAGGCTGGCAGATGTGTGCAGCACTGGGGGATTGGGGTGGGTTTGATGGAATGGTGGGGGGTTGGAGGGGAGGAGACACGGAGGGGAGCGGGCACAAGGGAAGAAGGGAGGATGTCCGAGCTGCTGCCCATGTCCAGAGTATGTTTTTTGAGAATTCTCAAATCACATACGCTGCCCATGTCCAGAGTATGTTTTTCAAAAACATATGCTGCTGTTGAGAATTCTCAAAAAACATACGCTGCCCATGTCCAGAGGCACGTCTGGACGGGCGTTCTCGTTGATGGTGAGGCTGGCTGACGTGTGCAGCACTGGGGGGGGGTTTGGAGGGGAGGGGAGAGGTGGGGGGCGGGGAGTAGGGGAGAAGGCGCAAGGGAAGGAGGGAGGGTATGAGTGCTGTCCCTGTGTGAAGGCACGTGTGGGCGGGCGTTCTCGTTGATGGTGAGGCTGGCAGGACTGGGGGCATCGTGTTGAGGGGGGGAGAGGAGAGGAGGGAAGGGGAGGGGAGGAAGGCGACAAATACTACTGTCGGTGTCGGCCAATCTGACGAGAATGCTTGATCAACTTTTAGAACTCTGAACGCCCAGCTGAAAATTCACAATCTGGAAGCCCAATCCACCAGCTTAAAGTTTTCTTCGTGATAAAAGTGTTGTTTTGAGACGTCTCAAAACAACACTTTTATCAACTGGAAAGCCAATCCAGCAGCTTAAAGTTTTCTTTTTACAAAGTGATGCAGAGAAAGGCTGACCGAAGATATTTAGAGGCGCCTCAAGAGGCCAGCTCACCAAAGATATTTGCGATTCCGACGCGAAACTCGGAGATCTCTGGCACGGCCCGCATGATCTGCGATGTGATGATGTGGCAGCCTCTGATTGGCGCGGGAATGGGGCCATGGGGGAGGAAGGGGGGAGGAAAGCGGATGTTAGGAGGGTGGAGTGGTGAAGGGGAGGGGGAGGAGGCCAAAGGAGGGGGGGGAGGATGGAAGAGAGAGAGAGAGAGAGAGAGAGAGAGAGAGAGAGAGAGAGAGAGAGAGAGAGAGAGAGAGAGAGAGAGAGAGAGAGAGAGAGAGAGAGAGGGAGAGAGAGGGAGAGAGGGAGAGTCTGGAACAGTGGTGTCGTGCCGATTTCTGAGGCGCCTCATAAAGGAGTGGGGGGAGGATGGGGGAGAGAGGGAGAGTCTGGAGCAATGGTCTCGTGCTGAGTGTGACGTTGTAAGTCGGTCACGTGAGTGTGAATGCTGAATGCGTCTCGCCACGTGTACCGTTTGTAGGGCGGCAGCTCAATCGTCTTCTGGACCCACACCGTCTTCCCCGCCGCTTCCGCCGCCGCTGCAGCCTGAGAGGCGGAAGAGGCGGAGGGGGAGGCGGAGGGGGGAGAGGAGCCGAAGAGTGATGCGGACACGCGTGCCGGCCGGGATTTATTCCGGCGATGGTGGATTCCTACCAGCGCGGGCGGCGGAAATGCGGAGGCGGGGATAAGCGCGGAGAGCTGAGAAATCCGCGCGGCATCCGCGGCGGCGGAGTGAAACGCGCCGAGCGCGACGGAATGAGTCGCGCCGAGCGCAACGGCGGGTGAAGCCATGATGTGGAGGCGGGAGAACGCGAGAGATACTAGAGTGAGGCGTACTTCTACTTCACTCGTGCCTGGCGAGTCACGAGAAACAGAAACAGCCGAAAATGGCAGCTATTTTACGAATTTCTGAGAACACGACTGCAGCAGAAAGTGGTGTGCGGGAGAAACCCATGAGTCTTTGCTGGTGGTGTGTGGTTGAATGCGATTCGTTTGGAATCACAGAGCGTGCAATAGCGAGTACGCAGTGGTGTTTTCGAATAATTGAACTAATGCGTGGAAACGGGACAAGAAACTGCACAAATGAATCCTGATAAATGACAAAATTAATACAGCAAAGACCTTTGGTCTGAATCACCTCGCGTTTTGAGGCGCATTCAGAAGCGTCGCATCGCGCATGGTGCCTCCGGCAATTGCCGTCGCAGCAGCTGCGGCTCGGCTCGCTTCGCCTCTCGTCGCCCTGATTCCCGGTCGACCGCTTGATCTCCTCCGTCCCCTCGACCCGCTTCGATCCCGTCCGTATTCGTCTTCCGCCAATCTCATTTCAAATCCCGTCTTTAACACTGTGCCTTCGACTAGGACCTCGTTACAGTCCCGCTCGTTACAGTTTCGCGCGTGCATGGCGCCTCCCGAGTCGCTGATCTCCGCGGAAGCCCCCGCCATCGGCGGAGACGGCGGAGATTCCGAGTCGCGCGCGATTCCATGGGGTCACCCGGAGCGGCTCGACCTGGCGATGGGCTCGCTGGTGGACGACAAGACGCGGTTCCGCAAGGATGTGAAGAAGGCGCTTCGAGGATTGACGGAGGAGCAACGCACGGCTGAAGGTGAACCTCCTTCACACTCTCCCTTCCCGCCACCACCTCTCCCAACCCCACTCCAGCCCTTTCCACCGCACTTATTCTTGCGCCCCGTCCCCCCAACTCCCCTGCTCCTGACCTCCCTTGCCCCAATCCTGCCTACCTCAATCCCCCGTATTTTCTCTGCACTCCCTCTCCCCTTCCCTCCTCCCTCCCTCTCTCCCCATCTCCCCTCCTTCCCTCCTCCCTCCCTCGAACACCCTTTATCTTCCTGATCTCTCTTCGGCGCAGACGTGGCAGTGCAGCGCCACGTGGTGCAGGCTGATTGGTTCAGGTCCGCGCAGCGCGTGGCTGCTTACATCAGCTGCCGGAAATTGAGGGAAGTGGAGACTGCTGACGTCATCAGCGACCTGCTCGGGAGAGGAGGTGAGAAGGGAGGGTGTGGGAGTGAGAGGGAAGGGGGGAGAAGGAAAAGGAGAGAGAATGTAGAACCTAGACGAGGGGAGGGGAGGGGAGCGGAGGGGAGGGGAGGGTAGGGGAGGGTAGGGGACGGGAGGGGAGAGGAGGAGAGGGGTCGTTTCTTGCTTGCTCTCGTGCATTCGTACCAAATTTGAGTCGCTTTTGAAAACCATGAAAAGCGCCAACCCCTTTTTTTTCTTACACACGCCCTCTCCCCATTGCGTCCTTCGCCTCTCAGCCAGTGTGTTTGTGCCACGTGTCATGGACAGCGAGAGCCACATGGTGATGCTGAAAATCAACTCCGTGAATGTAGTGGGGGAGGGCGGAGGGCAGAGGGGAGGGGGGGGGGGGCGGAGGGAAGGGGGGAGCGAAGGGGGACAGGGAGGGGGTGCAAGCGCAAGAGCAAGGAGCAGGAGCAGGAGCAGAAGCAGGGGCAAGAGCAGCAGAAGGGGACCTGGCGCGCAATGGGATGGGGCTACTGGAGCCCACCCTGACCCTCACAGATGGACGGTCACGATCCAACGGTGAGCTCATCTCACATTCAAGGCTCGACTTGGTGTTGCTCTAGTTTCTGTTTCCTCTCGCAAATGCAGCTTATTCCTCGACTTGGTGTTGCTCTTGCTTCTGTTTCCTCTCGCAAATGCAGCTTACTCCTCGACTTGGTGTTGCTCTTGCTTCTTCCCCTTCTCCCTTTTTTTGCCGGTTCCTCTGCCCACTCTCTTGACCCTAGGCCATTTGTGCTTTCATCTGAGGTACCCTGTAATCCCACTCTTATTGCCGCCTCCCTTCCACTTCTCATCGCCATCTACAGTGTACGGTGAACAGGAGCCGTTGGATCTGATTCTCGTGCCGGGGTTGGCGTTTGATCGCAGCGGTGGGAGACTGGGCCGAGGAGGAGGGTGAGTCACTCCCTCCCTCTCTCGGCTTCTCCCCCTGCCCCCTCTTTCTCTCCCCACCCTCTCTCCCCCACACCCAAACCCACACCCCCCAATTCCCCACTGCCGATCCTTCTCTAGAGCACCTTTCCGTTTCTCCTGCTGCCTCCCATGCTACACTCATTCTGCCTCTTATCCCCATCTAGTTTTGAGTTAACCCAATAATGATAAGAGAACTTGTCTCTCGGTCTCTATTGACACACCCATTCCTTCTTTTCCTCCCTGTGCTCTTGTCTCTCACCATCCCCCTTATTGCACGCCTCGCCAAAAGGTACTACGACGTGTTTCTCTCGCAGTACTTGGCGCATGCCCAAACAAAGCAGTGGAAGCAACCGCTCATAGGTACGCCCCTGCTTCCTCTTAGTTTCTGAGGCAGTGCAAACATAGTTACGCCTCCTTAGCGTTACAAAGACGTTGTGAAATTTTTAGTCGACTCAAAGCAGTGGAAGCAACGGCTCATATGCACGCCCCTGCTTCCTCTAAGCGTTGTTCTGAGAGGCCCAAATCAACAATAGGTGCGCTCCTGCTTCCTTAGTGTTGTTTTGAGGGGCCTCACATAAAGCATAGTTATGCTCGTTCGCAGTACTCAACACATGCCCAGGCCAGGCAGTGGAAACAGCCGCTCATAGGTACCCTCCTGTCTCTGCTCAAATCTCACACTACAATTTGTCATGTCACCTTTTGAGGCGCCTCAAAAGTTATCCTCCCGTTTCCTCTTGAATGTCACAGTACAATATGCCGTGTCACCTTTGAGTGTCACTCATATGTATGGCTCGCTTGCCAGCAACTAACCGCATTGGACTCCCATTCACCCATTGCCACCACTTCATGGCACTGGCATACAAGGCTCAAATTATCTCCCTTGTCTCTCCCTTTTACCCACCCAAACACCCTCCTTTATCCTCCCCTTCTTTCGTCCCCTCTCTTCCCCCCGAGCCGCCACCACAGTGGCATTGACCAAAAAGGTTCAGATTCTCTCCCTCCCCATGTCCCCATGTCCCCAGGTCCCCATGTCCTTCAATTCTTCCCTTGAATTCACCACGTTAAATTGTACCGCAGCTAACCATCTTCAACTCTCCATTCCCCTGTTGTCACCACCGCAGTGGCTCTGGCCTACAAGGCTCAGATTCTCTCCTCGCCCCTCCCTATGGAGACACCTGATGTCCCAATTTGTGGCATTGTGTGTGCTTGCACCACATTGAACTGCAGCTAACCGAATCGGACTCCCTTCTTCTCTTCTCCCTTTGCCAACACCCCACCGCAGTCGCTCTGGCCTACAAGGCACAGATCCTCTCCTCGCCCCTCCCCATGGAAACATCTGACGTCCCCGTTAGTGGCATCGTGTGTGCTGACGGCTTCCTTGCACCGCATTGAACCACAGCTGACCACATTAAGCCGCTTTTATGTATGCTAGTCGTACCGCAAGCACTCAGGAGACTGTCCTGCTTGTATCGTATCCCTGTTATCGACGCTGTGGATGCTAACAAGCTGTGCAATGCGCTAACCAACATCAAGATACATACCATGCCGCGCATTCAGGGGTTTCTTTGGTCGTAGGGTTTAGGGTGCCCGCACCTGTCCAACCGAAACAGTGCGTGCTGGGAGCGCACACCTCAATAGACCCCATTAAACTACGGTACGGTATATTGAGCAGTTGCAGTTAATACCAATAAACCATACCACACCTAGCAATCAGCATTCTACAGCCGTAGCTATGACTGTAGCTACTTGTAGCAGAACTGAACCACTTGGGTAGCCCCAATCCGTGCTTTCCAGACCCCTCAGCCACATCCCACTCTCTATCAAGTAAAGCAGCCTTTACACCTGCTGCCTAACAGTTGTTGCGTTGACTAGCAAGGCAGCTCACTTCAGCAAGACCCCCCATTCCACCTCCCTCAGCCGCATCCCACTCCCTCCACACGCCCAGCACAGTCCAGACGGCCTTCTTCCTCCTTAATTCTGCCGCCTCAGATTCACTCAGGCAGTTGCTGTGTTGACTAGCAAGCCAGGCAGCTAGGTCATTTGGGCAGCAACCCCCCTTCCAGCTCCCTAAGCCGCATCTTACCCTACCCTCCACGCCCAGCACAGTCCAGAAGAGCTCCCTTGTACCTGTTTTTCCATATTCACCAAGGGAGTTGTTTCTTGCATGGACTAGCTAGGCTGCTAGGTTACTTGGGCAAGCACCCCTCCTTCCAGCTCCGTTGTACCTAGTTTTCCATGTTCACCAAGGGAGTTGTTTCTTGCATGGACTAGCAAGGCAGGTCACTTAGGCAGCACCCCCCCTTCCAGCTCCCTCAGCCGCAATTCACTCTCCACATCCAACACAGTCGAGAGGGCCCCCCTTAAACCTGCTACTTCAGATTCACCCAGGCATGCAGTTGTTGCATTGACTGAAAACGCAGGTCACTTGGGCAGCACCCCCCCTTCCAGCTCCCTCAGCCGCAGCTCACTCTCCACGTCCAGCACGGTCAGGCAGTCCAGAAGCTTCCTCGTCTCTTCCTGCAAACCCCAATAGATTGAGATAACGGAGGGCAGCACGAAGGGAGGAGGAGAGGCAGGCAGTGAGGGATGCAATGCAATGCTGCTGATGTTCACAGATGACTTTTGAGGAGCCTCAAAACTTGCTGCTGATGTTCACAAATGTTTCTAGCATTCTGTACACGTGCAAACCTGGGAAGGCTTTTGTAACAATAGTAGGTTGTGTGCGAACGGCTCGTGTCTCACCTTCCTCCCACCTCTCCCTCTCCTCGCTCCCACCTCTCCCTCACTCTCCCTCATCTCTCCCTCACCTCACTCTCTAACCCCTCTCCCCTCTCACCCCTCTCACCACTCTCCCCTCTCACCCCTCACCTTTTTCACCCCTCTCAACCCTCTCATCCCTCACCCTTCTCACCCCACTCACACCTCCCATCCCTCTCTCTCATCTCTCTCACCCCTCTCACCTCTCACCCGTCTCACCTCCCTCACAGGCCTCAACCCCTCCCTTCACCTGTCGCGCTCGCTTCATCTGGTCAATCGGGGCCAGCTGCCTGGGCAAGCGAAACGCACTCCCACCACTCCCACTGCCACTCGCAGCCACAGTTGCACGGGGGAAGGACTGCGGAACCCACTCTCTCACATATCTCCCACCTCTCACCACCTCTCACCTCTCCACCTCTCACATTCTCCACTCTACCTTCTCCTCTCATTTCTCTCGAGCAAGTCACCTGTCTCCCCCCCCCCCCGCCCTTTCTCACCTGGCGTGCGCGCTTCATCTGGTCGTTCGGCGTCAGCTGCCTGGGCAAGCGAAACGCACTCCCACTTCCACTCGCAGCCACAGCTGCATGGGGCGAGCCCAAGGGCGAGCCCCCCGCGCTAGCAGAGCTGGCTCGAGAGGAGCTCTTCAGCCGCTGCAGCTCCTTGGTTGGCGTCACAAACACTGAGAGAGGCGGCAGCGGCGACGGCACACCCATGAAAGAGGCCTCCCCTTCAGCTGCTTCTGCTGCTGCTTCTGCGTTTCCATGCTGTGATGCAGCAGCAGACGGGTCTATCTGCGCTTCAAACTCGCGCCACACTTGGTCCAGGTCGCCCGATTCACCTCCGCTAGACCCCATCCTTTGCACAGCCTCTTCTCCCAACTCCTTCGGCTCCTCTTCATGCCCATGCATCGCTGGATTCTCATGCAACCCTTCCGCTTCCGCGTTCCCTCCCGCATCCCCATTGACCATCTCATCCAGAAGCCCTGCATTCTCCTCACCTTCCTCCTTCCCTTCCTCCTCCCCCTTCTCCTCTCCCTTCTCCTCCCCCTTCTCCTCTCCTCTCTCCTCCCATTCCCTCCCTCCCTTCTCCCCACCCTCCTCGTTTTTCCCCCCCTCCACCTGCCCCTCCACCTCACCCCCCTTCTTCTCCTCATCATCACACACTTCCGCTGTTTCCTCCTCTTCCCTTGTCTGCGCCTCCATCCTCCCCTCCCGCTCCTCCTTTGCCTCCTCCTTTTCGCCCTCCCCTGTCTCCCCATTCTCCTCCCTCATCTCCTCGCCCTCTCCCTCATCCACCTCCTCCCTCTCGCCTCCCCCTTTTTCCCTTTTCTCCTTACTCTCCTCGCCCTCCTCATCCGTCCGCTCCTTCACCTCATGCCTCTCCTCCCCTTCCGTCTTAACCAGCAACCTCTCTTCCTCCTTCCTTCCCCTCTCCTCTTCCTCTCCTTCCTTCTCCGTACTTCCATTCCCAAGCTCTGCAGCACTGCATCCCTCTCCCGCATCCTGTCTGCGAGCCTCATCCCCATTCTCAAAACAAGCTTGCCCATCCCCATTCTCAAAACAAGCTTGCCCATCCCCATGACACTCCAACGCCTCTTCTTCCACCAACTCACCCACCTCATCCCGCTCACCCCTCTTGTCGTCCTGCTTGGAATCGTCAGCCCCTTCAACACTCCCTGGAACACTCATGTCCAAGCTCCCCACATCCATAACACTCAGGTCCTTCTCATTATCTAATATTGTCTCTGTCAAAGGTTCTCTGATGTTTCCGTCTTCACGCACACCTTCGGCTTGCGAAGAGCCATCCTCCCCGTTGGTTTTTTTAAACCTCTCGTCCTCCCCACCATATTCGACCTTCTCACCCCCTTCTCCTCCCTCCTCCTGCCCTCCTCTCTCCTTCTCCCCCACGCCCTCCTCCTCCATCTCCCTATCCTCGTCTCCCCAACCACCTCTCTGCCCCTCCCCGTCCCCATCCCATCGTCCCACTGCCGTCTGTCCCTCTCCCATCTCCCCTCCCCCCAGCTCCCCACCCGCCATCTCCCCTCCCCCCATCTCCCCTTCCCCCAACTCCCCTCCCCCCATCCCCCCTCCCCCCATCCCCCCTCCCCCCAACATATCATCCGCCACCCCTTCTTCCCCCAACAGCTGCGCCCAATCCACATCAACCCCACCCACTCCTCCCCCCACTCCCATCCCCTCAAACCCTCCCAACCCTCCACCCTCTCCCCATCCCACTCCCCCTCCCTCTCCTCCTTCCTCCTCCCCCATCACAGCCATCCCAGCCTCCCACAACACCCCCAACTGCCTTCTGCACCGCTCTAACTCCCCTTCCAACCACTCTACCTCCTCCTGCTGCCGCTGCATGATCTGCCTCAGCACCTCCACCCTCTCCTCATCATAAACCGCCTTCTCCTCCAGAATCCTCTCCCGCTGCCGGGCGGCAAGGTGAGCGGCGGCTTTGTCCTCTTGCAGCCGGCGGATCAGCTCCATGCTGGCCTGGGCGGCACTGTCAGCCGCCGCCCGTTCCTGGTCCAGCTCCCTTCTAAGAGAATCTACCAACTCCATTTCATACTCCAACGCCCGGCGCAACACAGCCAAATCATCCTCATCCTCAAATTCGTCCCTTTCCTCCCCTTCCTCATCCTCTTCCGCTTCCCTCTCTCCTCCAGCCTCTCCCTCCTCCGAGTCCCCGTTCCTTCCCCTCCCTCGGTGGCCTCTACGATTCTCCTCTGCCTGCTGCTGCAGCTGTCGCTTCAGCTGCCGCTGATGCTGCTTGAGAATCTTGAGGAACTTTGCCCGATCGATCACCTCCTCTTCCTTCTCCTCCCCCTCGTCGCTCTTGCCCTTCTCTCTCTCATCCTTCACCGTATGACGCAACCCCTGCTCCTCCTGCCCCTCCTGACGCATCTGCTCCTCCTCTTCGTCCTGCTCCTGCTCCTCCTGCTCCTGCTGCTCCTCCTGCTCCTCCTGCTCCTCCTGCTCCTCCTGCATCCCATTTTCAGTCGATGCGAGAAACTGCAGTTTCCGCCATTGTCCCCCTTCCTCCTCTTCCTCCATTTCCTCCTCCTCCCGTTTCTCCTCCGCCTTGCTGCCTCTCCTTTCCACGCCCCCTTCCCCATCACCTGTCACACTCTCAGCAGCACCACCACCACAAGCTGCTGCGGCCTCCAAAGTCGACAGGGCCGTCATTTCTGTTTCCCCATCCTCTGCCGCTCCGTCTTCTCCCTCTCGCCCTTTAGCATTCTCAGGAGAACCTACACACGACGTCTCACCTTCACCTTCCCTACTCTCAGCGGTCGTTTCCCTTTCCACACTCGACCTGGCTCCCCTCTGGTCCCCCTTCTCCTCCTCCCCCTCCTCCTTTACTGAGCTCATCTGTCTCACCATTCTCCTCATCCTCTCCTCCTCTCCACTGCCCCTCCTCTCCCCCTCCCCAGTCACCATTCCCCCCTTCTCTTTCCCCTCTCCCACCTCCTCCTCCTCCTCCTCTTCCTCCCCCTCCACCCGCTCCCCCTGCCCTCCTCTGCTCCCTCCGTGTCTCGCCATGAACCCAGCCAGCAGATTGAAGAGAGACGCTTCAGTCATGTGCCTGTACGACCGCCGTCCAGCCACCCTCAATCGCACGCCCCTATCGCCCTTCGAACCGCCACCACAGCCAGCAGCACCGCCAGCAGCACCGGCAGCAGCACCAGCACCAGCAGCAGCGCCAGGTGAAACAGGCTCCGGTCCTCCCATCCATTGACCTCGCCTCCCTGACCCCTTCCCAGGTGTTCTCCCGGGTGTTCTGCCAGGTGTTCTGCCAGGTAACCTGCGTCGTTCTAGTGGCAGGTGGAGGGTTGGAAGGGCAAGACCACGCCGAGCACTCATGCCTTCTGTAGCACCATCCGTTACCGCCACGGATTCCGCAGCTTCTGGAACACATCCTTCCGCTGTAGTCACACTTTCTGCAGTGCCACCCACCTCTCCTGAACCATCTCCTTCCTCTATAATCACGCTCTCCTGTGTACCAGCTCCGTCCCCTTCTGTACTCGTGCATTCCCCTGCAATACCTCCCTCCGTTACAGTCACACCTCCCTTTTCTCTCTCTATGATCACATTCGCCTCAGCACCTTCAGAGGCGGTCTGCTGTTCAGCCCACTGGGCTTCTTTGTCCGCGTCTGCCTGAACATCACTCCATAGGTCTTCAGAAACACTCTCCTGCGTTTCGGCAAGCAGCGTTGCATTAGAATCCGTCACAACAGAGGCAACACCACCACCACCGGCAGCAGCAGCAGCAGCAGCAGCAGCATTACCAGCGCAAGCATCACCAGAACCACAAGCACTATCACCACCACTGTCAGCGACACCAACACCAGTATCACCAGCACTAGCAACCTTCCCATTCCCACCCAGACCTGCTAACATTCCTGCTGAACCTTCTCCCGGGCCTGATTTCCTCCCTGCCGCTCTTTCCCCTTGCCTAACCTCCTCTGCCCTCTCCCCCCTGCCTCTCCTCCACTCCACTTCCATCTTCCCCATCTCCTTACCCCACGCACTCAGAAGCGCACTTACCAGCTCTTCCCTCCTCTCCCCTCTCCTCTCCTCCTCGTCTCTCCTCAAATGCTCCACCACTGCTTGTGCCAACCCCTCATACCCCTCCTCCCTCTCCTCTCTCTCCCTCCCTCTCTCCCTCTCTCTCTCCCTCTCGCCCTCCCCCTCTCTCTCCTTCTCCCTCTCTCTCTCCTCCAGAACCTGCTGCGCCAACTCCCGCCCGAGTTCTCTCATTTCAGTCACCTTCGTTACAGTCACCAGCTGCTCCACTCGTTGCAGCCACGCCTCTCTCTCCCTCCCCCACTCCTGCATTACCCTCTGGATCAAATCCTCTTGCTCCTGCTGCTGCTTCTCCTCCTTTACCTCCTCTTCCTGATGTAGCTCTTGTTGATGCTGCTGCTCCTCCTCCTTCGCCTCCTCTTCTTTCTGTTGCTCCTGCTGCTCCTGATGTTGCTCCTGCTCTTCTTCCTGCTGCTTCTCCCCCTCCTCCTCTCTTACCTTTTCTTCCGTTTGCTGCTGTTGCTGCTGCTGTGCTCCTGTGCGTTGCTGATGCTCCTGCTCCTGCCCCTGCTCCTGCTCCGGCTGCTTCTGATGCTCCCGCTGCTGCAGCGTCAGATATTCCTGTTTGCTCTGCGTCAGCAACGCCGACAGCCTCTCAACCAGCTCACCCACCAACGCCGCCCTCTCTTCCGGCCTCTCTTGCTCCCTCTCCTGTCTCATCCTCTCTTCCTCCAACTTTCGCTCCTCTTCCTCCTCCTCCCTTGTCAATTCCGCTCTCCTATTAATCTCCTCCATTCCGTCGCCTCTTCCCCCCTCGTCCTCCTCCCCTTTTCCACTCGCCTCCACCTGTTTGCTGACTCCCTCTACCATCATCTTATTCTCCATACTCTCCCTTCTCCCTTTCCTCTCCCCATGTTCACTCCTCCCCTCAACCACGCCGGATACGACCTCCACCAGTTCCTCACGCATCTTCACCACTTCTGCTGAAACCACCTGAACCACCTCCGCTGAAAGCACCTGGAGAAACTCCTGCCCGTCATAGGTCTTCCCACGTTCGCTGCTGCAGCACGGCCTGACGTCACCTGCCGTGTTGTTGATTGGGATTTCCAGACTGAATGTGACGTCATCGTCGTTTTTAGCAAGCACGGTGACGTCATCAGCGGTAGTTGTTCTTATCGCGTCCACGGGCTTATCTTGAGGCGGTTCAGCGGGCAGAGAAGACACCTTCGCGGAATCTTCGGTTCTCAGGTAGTCGCTTTGTCCGTCAGCCGCGCGAGGCTCGGAAGGTTCGCGGTCGAATGACACGTGGCGGAAAGAAAGCCTTGCCACGTGTAACAGCCAGACCGCAACGGCGCCGCAAGCAGCGCGAGCGAGGAGGAGAGCCGCGAAGAGGAACTGGATAAACTCGTCGACGACTGACGGGGCAGATGGTGAATCCCATGGCGACGAGTAAAACACGATTCGCACGGCTGGCAGACTGACGACATTGGCGACGTTGACGACATTGACGACATTGACGGCGGCGACAGAGCTGAGTTGATGCATTGAATGGATTCACGGTCTACGACAATCGGTCTGTTACAATCTGTCTTCGTTAGCCCTACTGGGAGAAAACAGGGATAAGGCCAACGGCAAGTTGCGACTTGCGCTTGACGAGCGTTCGACGCCAAAGTCGGTCACGCGCTACGCCGTGAATTGCAGCCGTCGCGCGCTTCCATTGTTCGACCGACAAGCACGGATGACGATGCAGCAGGAGAAGCCAAGCAACAGGAAACTATTCAGGAAGAAAATAAGGAGTGGGACGAAGGTGAGGGTAGGAATGAGTTCACGCGAGCGAGAAGAGTGAGTGAGAGGACTGAGGTTGCTGTGGTACATAGCACTGAGGTAAAGACTGACTGAGGTCAAGAAAACTTGCAGAAGCAGAACAACAGAGGAGAAGAGACGAACAGAAGCACCGCACAATAACGTACCACACCGTAGCATTTGCTTCTACCACCATTCCCGCCAGTTCTGATTTCCCGTTGGGGTGTACCAGCCTGAGGCGTTTGAGGAAGCTGTAGCGGAGTTTTGCGATTTCTCGTTAACGGAGTTACAGGGCCCACGCAAGGCGACGAACGTGGGCGATTTTGGAGTCTGGTCTGGGTCCCTGCGTGGCTACGTAGGGCTAATACAATTGGCTGACGCTAGTGCTACCATATCCGTGCGAACATCGTGGAGGGAATACGAGCGACGTGCGACGATGTGGACAATGTGTACACTAGTCGTGATGCCTCTGATTGGAGAGCGCCGCAAGAAGCATGCGACTTTTATGACGTGGCTGCACGACAAATGAAACAAGCGTCCTGAAGATACGAGAATTGATACTCGTGGGGTGTGACTCGATAAGACTGCAATGACCGATGTGTCTAAGCATGTTGCATACAAAACCTTTTATTCTCATCATCTTAACAGTACAAGATCTCAAAGAAGGGACTCTTCAAACCCCTTCCATATTATCTTGAGCTACCATCAGAAGACGTAGGTTTTACTGAAGATTCCTCCACGACTTCAACAATGACAACCTGTAACAGCAAAACAATCAGGTGTAAAATGCGTTGAAACAAAGCACCTATGTTATGCCCCAAAACAACATCCCCAAGCGCAATAAAAAACTCACCTCTTCCGTCCGTGCTTCCTTTTCTTCCCTCTTCTCATTTGGCGGCAAGACAACAGCCTCCACAACTGGTACTTGCACCTCAGCCTGCACAGGTGCAGCTGGTTTCACCCCTTGCTCAGCTGCCGCCTTGGCTGCACGTCTTGCCTTCTCCTCCTCCTTCCGCTTCCGGAACCTGTCGATAGATCCATCAAGATGGCGAAAGGGTGAGGCACGGGCAGGAAAACAGGAAGAGGGGAAGGAGTGGGGGAGACAGTGGGGAAGGCGTGGGGGAGACAAGAGGGGAAGGAGTGGGGGAGACAAGAGGGGAAGGAGTGGGGGAGACAAGAGGGGAAGGAGTGGGGGAGACAAGAGGGGAAGAAGTGGGGAAGACAAGAGGGGAAGGAGTGGGGGAGAAAACAGGGGAAGGAGTGGGGGAGACAAGAGGGGAAGGAGTGGGGGAGACAAGAGGGGAAGGAGTGGGGGAGACAAGAGGGGAAGGAGTGGGGGAGACAAGGGGGGAAAGGGAGGACGGGAATGGAGGAGGGGATGAGGAGCAGGGGAACTGATTAGAATAGACACCCTGAATTATCATTTTCTGCATACCAGCTAAATCGCAACCTGCTTCTTGTCCTTGACATCTCATCCCCACTGTTGGTGCAGCCATTCCCCTTCCACCCTTCTCGCTTCCACCTCTATCCCACCCCCTTTTTTCCACGCCAGGGCGCTAATGAATCCCAATCGCAAACAGTAACCCAGTAACCCAATACAGATAACTACCTGAGAAAAAAAATTTCCTCACCTCTCTGCCCGTTCCCTGTCCTTGTCATCCACATTGACTGCTGCAGCTGCTCCCCCATCATCCCCCACCGTCCTCCCCGCCCGCTTTGCTGCCTCTGCCTCCTTGCGTTTCCGGAACCTGCAGCAGGTAGCAGAAGAAACGAGTTGTCACTGGTTTCACTCCCAGCACCGCCTCCAACAATGCCACCTCTTCCCCCCACTTTTCCCCCTCTGCCTTCTCATCCTGCAGGTTGACCATAAAACTTCTCAAAATCGATCCGGCTCTCTCCCTCTCACCTCGCAGGCTCTCTCTTCTCCTCCTCCTCCTTGCTCAGCCCAATGGGAGCAACCCCAGCAGATGGCGCCATCACTGCTGGTGCAGCCACAGCAGCAGACGCAGCAGACGCAGGGGCAGCAGAGGCAGCATCACTTGACATTCCCTTGTGATCTCTTCTCACCTTTCAGCGCGGGCCCTCTCCTTCTCCTCCTCCTCCTTGCTCAGCCCCATGGGAGCAGTCCCAGCAGACGGGGCCGTCACTGTTGGTGCCGCCACAGCAGCAGACACAGCAGACGCAGTGGTGCTGGGCGGTGCAGAGGGCTCCACAAGCCCCACGTCAATGACCCCATCTGCCCCCACCACCCCTGCTGCTGCTGCTGGCATCGTAGCTCCCCCCATCTTGCGCAGGTAGACCGTCTGTCCTGTGCTCAGCACGTTGTTCACAAACCTGAGGTTAGGGAGAGGAGGGGGAGGGGGGGGATGGGAGGCGAGTGAGAGATTACAGATAGGGAGCGGCACCAAGGGCGTGGCACCCCCCATCTTGCGCAGGTAGACCGTCTGTCTGGTGCTCAGCACATTGTTCACAAACCTGAGGTAAGGGAGAGGAGGGGGAGGGGGGGGATGGGAGGCGAGTGAGAGATTACAGATAGGGAGCGGCACCAAGGGCGTGGCACCCCCCATCTTGCGCAGGTAGACCGCCTGTCTGGTGCTCAGCACATTGTTCACAAACCTGAGGTTAGGGAGAGGAGGGGGAGGGGGGAAGGCAGGCGAGTGAGAGGCAAGATACCAGGGGCCGCACCAGGGGCGTGGCTCCTCCCATCTTGGTCACATACACAGTCCCGGATTGTGAACAACGTGCTGAGCTCAGCATGTTGTTCACAATCCTGAGGGCGCCGACAGGTGGTGTGAGCAATCCTGTGGGGCGAATAGGGGAAGAGGAAGAGAGGGTATGTACACAGAGGGTTTGGAATAGGATGCACATTGTCGAGTTCAATTCCTATTAAATGAGATTAACCAGCACCCACCAAGAGTATCCCCAATATGACGTGGGTGAGTCAACCCACCAGTAGAGCGAGAGGCCGGAGGGCACCGTGAGGGAAAACCAGCCGATCATGAGCGGCAAGAACTTGAGAATCGCCTGGCTCTGCTGCGTTGCCGGGTCCTGGTGGGTACGAGTGGGGCAGTAGGAAGCAGCGGGTTTTGGGAGAGGGGAGGAAGGGGAGAGGGGAGAACAGGGTGGATTTTTGAGTCGCCAAGAGACAGGATGTGAGCGTGTGGGGGGAGGAAAGAGGAGGTGAGGAGGAGAGAGGAGGCGGAGTGGGGAAGGGAAGGGTAGAGATGTCCGAGCAACAATGTGAGGGCGGAAAAAGAGACAACAATTTGGTGTCGCAGCGGTAGATGCTTTGGTGAAGAGTTCAAACGCAAGTTTGAGAACTACTGGCAGCTTTGAGCAGAACCTGAAGCATTGTTGGTGCTGGCAGCAATGGCGGCAGCACTCACATCTGTCTGTGGCGGCTGCATGATCTGCATGGAGAGCGCCTGTGACACCACCAGCAGCACTGGCAGCACGAGGTACGCTGCTGTGGCCTCCCAGCCGAGAGGGGGGGCGCCATCCTGCAGTGTGGTTTTGGTTGGGATGGACGGTGACGGGAGATGAAGGGGGAAAGAGAAGGAGGGGTGATTGAGTTGTGAAGGGAAGGGGCAATGGGGAGAGAGGGATGAGGGAAAGCCATGGCCATCACTGGCAGCACGAGAACAGCGCCAGAAAGACGTTGTGTCCTCCCAACCCAGAAGAGGACGCCGATTTAATACAGTAACACACTCGTAACACATGCGACCGCACATGCTGACAAGAAAGACCAAAAAAAAAAAAAAAAAAAACGTAGCTGTGACTATAGAGACGAGATGCTCTGAAGCAGCAGCGTGTGCTTACAATGAAGGGGAAGAGCCAGGAGATGCCAGAGCCTTCGACGGTGGGATCGATGGACGTGGGGCCAGCGAGAGATGGGATCCAGAAAAAGCCCTCCGTCAACACGCCCTGGTTATGGGACGGGATAGGATGGATGGAGCACGTGTTAACGCAGGATGAGGTGGTGGGGAGCGAGAGATGTGGGGACGTGGGGGGGTGGGGGAGGGAGGCGGGGGGGGAAGGAGAGAGAGGATATCCAAAGATCCGTGAACACGCCCTTTTGATGGGCCAGAGAGGTGGTGGTGGTGGTGCAGAGATAAAACGAGTCCGGTAAAGGTTCTTGCAGGGCAGATGATAGTGTGACGGAAGCAGGAGGCACAAGGAAGCGCTCCTTTGGAGATGGAAAAAAAGGGAGGGGAGTGGGGGGGTTGGGGAGAGGGGATAGCGGAAAACGAGCAAAGCGCTTTGCTTACCTCCTTAGCGACATTACTAAGCGCCTGGTAGAGGCCGATGAAGATGGGGAGAGTGGCGAGCGTGGGCAGGCAGCCTGTGATGGGGGTGCGGATGGGGATGGAGTTTGGGAAGGAATAGGGATGGGGATGGGATGGGATGCTGATAGGAGCTTCTGTGGTTGATGGTGCATTTCCTCATTTTCATACTGTGTCGTACAATCCATGTTGTGTCCTGGCTATGTTAGTTCATACTTGACAAGAAAGACAGGAGCATCCGCGCTGTGAGCTAGATTAGTTCCTCTGGTCGTCTGACACAGTGCCTATATTAGGTTTCTTAGGCGTCAATTTCCACCCTTGGTATGTAAAAGCGTCGCCTCACCTGCAAGAGGGGGTTGACACCCGCACCGTTGGTACACCTTGGCGGTCTCCTTTTGAGGCGCCTCAAAAGTCGTAGCCTCACCTGCAAGAGGGTTGACGCCCGCGCGTTGGTACACCTTGGCGGTCTCCATCTGAACGTGCTCCTGCTCGCACCAGCCTGTGGAACCTTTACTGTGCCCATATAACCTCCTGGCCTCGTCAGGTCAAGCAGCAAATCGTCTCACCTGCGAGGGGGTTGACACCCGCGCGTTGGTGCACTTTCGCCGTCTCCATCTGGATGCGCTCCTGATACCCGCGTACTGCGCCTGGATGGCCTTCAGCTGCGGCGCCAGGCTCTGCACTCGCTACTCTTCGCAGAATTGCGAGTCGCTGCTGGCAGGATCATTGGACGAATTTCCAGGGTGCTACATCCTTTTCCCCATCCTGCCCGTGTGCTCCCTACCTGCCCGATTCCAATCTCCTTGCTTCAATTTTGGTAGCCCGTGACAAAAACTATCCTCACCTGCGAGGGGGTTGACACCCGCGCGTTGGTACACTTTCGCCGTCTCCATCTGGATGCGCTCCTGGTCGCCCGCGTACTGCGCCTGGATCGCCTTCAGCTGCGGCGCCAGGCTCTGCATCGCGAGCGTCGACTCCACCTGCTTCTTCGTCAGCGGAAACGTCGCCACCTTGACGATGATGGTGAGCAGAATGATGGAGAAGCCGTACGCGTAGGGCACCTTCAGAGAGACCAAACCCTCCTCTAAGACCTGCCCGGGGTGTGAGATGGGAGGGGGAAAGGGGGGGAATGGGAACGGCGGAGCATGATGGCAATTATCGTCAGCGGAAACGTCACCATCTTCACCATGATGGTGAGAAGAATGATTGAGAAGCCGTACGCGTAGGGCACCTTCAGAGAGACTAGGCCCTCCTCTAAGATCTGCCTGGGGTGCGAGATGGGAGGAGGGGAAGGAGAGGGGGGTGGAGGGGGGTTGTGAGCATGATGAAAATTATCGTCAGCGGGAACGTCGCCAACAGGACGATGATTGAGAAGCCGTACGCGTGCGGCACTTTAAGAGAGACCAGGCCCTCCTCTAAGACCTGCCAGGGGTGCGTGTGATGAGAGAACGAACCAGGGTCGGGGGGTGGAGAGAAGGAAGGTCGAGCAGCGCGACATCTCCATCAGACACACCAGCCACTCCTCTAAGACCTTGATAACAATGTCGAAGCCATAATTTAAGAATGCTTCACAAGTTTACGCTTGTAAGACAACTTGACATTGTTGTTAAGCGGATGATGGAGCTATATGGACGGCATTTTGAGAGAGACTAAACCTCCTCAACGACCGCAAGGTACTGAAGCCCGGAGAGCCGGAAGATTGAAGACTGAGGACGAACCGCCTGCCTTGCAGTTCAAAATCCTCATGAATAATACCCCATTTAGTTTATTTACGTTGTGAAAACTGTGAAATGACAGTGTCTACTCTGTGGATATGCCACTGTCGTACCTTGAGAAAAGCTTCCAGGAGATCAGCAAGGCCTGAGAACCAGCCACGATCCTGCACCACCTCAGCAGCAGCTGGTGCCACGTCAGCAGCAGCGTCCGCAACCGCGAATAGAAGATTATGTGCGGCTATAGATCCTGCGGAAACCACGGCATCAATACTGGAAGGGTCCAGGACCGCTCTAGTGACAATGCTTCTGGATCGCTTCTGTGACTGTAACGGGCGTAATTGCCGTAAGGGAAGCCCAAGACCATGGCAGCCGGTTTGCAGTCTAAGCCCAGACGCTGACGTGGCTAACGTGGCCCTAGGTACTGTCGAAATTGCCATCTGTGCAGGATGCAGCAGGACCCGATCCATGGCGCCGAAAACCGACGAGGGACGAAAACTGCTGCCGACGTCAAGTCGATCGGACAAAGGGATCGAGAATAAGTGACCTAATGCTGTGCTGCAGATGTATCACCAGGAGCACTTGAGCTACCGTGCTCAAATATTTTCACCCTGTAAGTGAAGGCCAGTGAATCAGGTCCCAAACAGGTCATAGGACAGGACTCCCCTTCCCCACCACCATCCCACCACAGCCCAGCAGGAATCTGAGGCATCTGGTAACTTCTAGGGGACGGGAGCTGGCTGGAGGTGGCATGGCATTCACCCCTGGCTTTTGACGTAAGCGTCTACTGGCTGCGTGACACATAGGTATGCCAGATAAGGGTTTTGAAAGCGTGTGACACGTGGCCGTACGGCTTATACGCCGCTCCTTTATTATCACATTCAGAGATACATCCTCGACATGTGTGTGACAATGTACTTCGCTTCCTCGGCCTTGTTCTGTGGCGCTAACTCAGAGTAGCTAACTCTGAGTTACCGAGCCGTGTAGGCTTGGGCGAGTACACCGGCAATTAATCATTACGCTCGTGTGAATGTTTGAGTTGTAACTCACCTTGGTGATCTGTGGCCCCTCCTAACTCTGTGTTGAGGAAGTTTCGTAGGGGTTCACCAAGCTGTTCTGGTTAAAATTTTCTGACTCAACCCTAAGTGCCGCCCCTTCCGAAAAGAAATGTGCGAAAGGGTAGCCATGGGGCAAAAAATTGCAACTTCACGCAACACAGCGTGGGGACTAGTTGGAAAGAACCAAATGTGGGCAATGTCGGGGTAGCCCCTCTCGAGCCGTACACAGAGTAGTGTAGCCAACTTTCACAAAAAAGCCCGAGTAAGGGAAAGCACTAACTCTGAGTTAGTTGCCCGTGAAAGAAGGTTCGATGCATGCTTCCTACGGAGCGTACTCTGAATTGTTACTTTGCGTATTTGGAACCCTTATTTGCTAACTCTGAGTTAGCTGGCACGGTGTGATTGTAACGTACACACGTGTGAGGGTTGAGTTAATGAAGCCACTACGAGCCCAGTCAACTCTAAGTTAAGGGGCCACAGAACAAGGCCCTTGTCTTTCGCAGGCAAGCAGCACATCCGTGGCTGCAGTTTCTCCATCACAAATTGTGGCAATTTACGATGAAGCCACGTGCACGTCCAGCTCCAGCGCTGGTTGGAAGGCTTGATGCCCTATTTGTGGGAGAGAGATCTCTTATTGGCTAAAATAAATCAGTGAACCTCGCCACGAGCTTCGGAGCTTTTTGTGTGCTGCCAGCTGAAGCACTTATGAGTGACTTGTGTCTGAAGAAAGCGAAGCCGTTGACCAATCAATGATATCCACGACTTCTTCGCTCAGAAGTTCGTTAGCCGCTAGCCGGCGGTTTCGCATTCTAGGTGTTCTGTCGTCTAGGATGCCCGTTCTCGGTGTACGACGTTTCTGGGGTCGTCCAGATTCATCCAAACGGCGCATCTGAAAAGAAGCATTTCCCGTCGCAAGAAACGTCGTCGCAGCCGCGACAACTCACCAAGGTTGCCCTAAAAATTTATGATTCCCAATGAGTTCACGAGAAGTTACCAGCTCTTGAAAGCACATCAAAATATCGTCTTCCTTCGCTGCACTTGTACACAAGCCAGTTGCTGCTCAGCAGAACAAAAACCGGTGAGCGTCTGTCATAATCAATTTCCTTCGTTGTCGTTCTACTTCCTCCTTCTCGACGTTAGCACGGTTCCCTTCCGCCAAGGGACGCTTCGTGTTACGACTCCCAAGTCACCTCTCTTGAGGGAGCTATTCGTGCTTACCGCAGACAAGGTACTTGCATTTAGTTCTGAAATTCGGGTTTGGATTGTGAGATTGTCTGCAACTATTCTCCATTTTTACCCCCTTCGGCTGTTTTCTGCTCTCAGATTTCAGACACTTCTTGCGTGCTTACCCAGCACAAAGTCGGAATGGCTGGAGCTATCGCTCAGTCGTCGCTCATCTCCGCGAGCGTGTTCCTCCATAGCGGTAACAAGTCTTCGCGACGGTCACGGCGCTCGTCGTCAACCGTCGCCAGCGTCGCAGCTCCTCGCTCGCTTCAATCCTTTTCGGGACTGAGGCGTCCCGGCCAAGCTGACGTGGCACTCAGGGGCTCTTCGTCGTTGGCAGCGATAGTCGCGAAGCAGACTAAGGCCGGCTCGTCCAGCGCCGCCAAACGCGGTGTCGCTGTCGCCATGTTCGAGCGCTTCACGGAGAAGGTACTTGGCCGTTCACCTTGGTCCTCAATCATGAGTCACTCGCGAGTTCGTCACGGCACGTGAGGATTAAGTTGATTGAGTTGTTTCTTAGAGGGCTTCAGAAAGTAGGTGGCATGGGCGCACCTTGCTACACGCGGCGTGGCTTGACTACTCCGTCTTTTTTGTTTTCGTAGATCATTGGAACTTCGACCTGTGCTCCCGGCTGCTGCTGACTATTCAATTTGCCGTCCATCAGCCACTAAGCTACGCGCGTCGAAACGCTCTGACTTCCCCATTCCACTACTCCTCGCCCATCGCAGGCGATCAAGGTGATTATGCTCGCGCAGGAGGAGGCGCGGCGCCTGGGACACAATTTCGTGGGCACGGAGCAGATTCTCCTGGGGCTCATCGGCGAGGGCACGGGCATCGCCGCCAAGGTGCTCAAGTCGCTGGGCGTCAATCTCAAGGAGGCGCGCGTCGAGGTCGAGAAGATTATTGGTCGCGGCTCGGGCTTCGTGGCCGTTGAGATCCCGTTCACGCCGCGCGCGAAGCGCGTGCTGGAGCTGTCGCTGGAGGAGGCGCGCCAACTCGGGCATAACTACATCGGCACGGAGCATCTGCTGCTGGGCCTGCTCCGCGAGGGCGAGGGCGTGTCTGCGCGCGTGCTCGAGAATCTCGGCGCCGACCCCGGGAACATCCGCTCGCAGGTAAACAGGAGAATGTCTTTTTTTAGTCGATTCAAAACACGTCTGTTTTGAGTCGACTCAAAACGCGCGTGCTAGAAAATCTGCCGGGAACATCCGTGGCGCAGACCTTGGGAACATCCGCTCGCAGGTACATAGGGGAGTGTCCGTTTCTTGTGTGCGTTTGATTGAATATTGCTGGAAAATCTGCAGTCGCGCTTCACGGGTGATCCGCATGGTACTTTATTTGAAAGATTTGCTGCACTGAAATCGATTTTTGTGATATTAACGAGGTGTAATATCTCTTGTGGCGGGTGATCCGCATGGTCACCACTTCCTGCACTGAAATTGGTGGTTGTGATATTAACGAAGGCTGGTTCTTCTGGTGGCAGGTGATCCGCATGGTGGGTGAGAGCGCAGAGGCGGTGGGCGCGGGCGTGGGCGGCGGCAGCAGCGGCAATTCCAAGATGCCCACTCTCGAGGAGTATGGCACCAACCTCACCAAGCTCGCTGAGGAGGTGAGTGAATCCGGCTGGGCTTAGCGCTTAGGCTCTCCTCCCCTTCTCCACCCTCCACCACCGCCCGTCCCTCCTCGCGGGGCAAGCTAGACCCAGTGGTGGGGCGTATAGCGCAGATCGAGCGGGTGATGCAGATCCTGGGTTGCCGCACAAAGAACAACCCTACCTCATCGGCGAGCCCACAGCCCAATGCGTCTTCTCTTCTCTCTCCCTTCCCGTTCTGCTCTTCCCTCTCTCCGTCTCTCCCCTTCCTCCCTGCAGGGAAAGCTAGACCCAGTGGTGGGGCGTATAGCGCAGATCGAGCGGGTGACCCAGATCCTGGGTCGGCGCACCAAGAACAACCCCTGCCTCATTGGCGAGCCTGGTGTGGGCAAGACTGCCATTGCTGAGGGCCTTGCACAGAGGATTGCTTCTGGAGACGTGCCTGAGACGCTGGAGGGGAAGAAGGTGAGAGTGTGGTGGGTAGCAGGATGTGTGTTCCGTAACCAGGGTGAAATGTCTCGGGGGAATGGCAATGTTGATACGACATGTTCTGACTGTAGGGGCGTGGTGTGGTGGTTTCTGAAGAGGAAATTTGTTTTTACTATCGTATTCCCCTTTCCCCCCGTTTTCCCACAGGTCGTTACCCTAGACTTGGGGCTGCTTGTAGCGGGTACCAAATACAGAGGAGAGTTTGAGGAGAGGCTGAAGAAGCTGATGGACGAGATCAAGCAGGCGGGCGACATCATCCTCTTCATCGACGAGGTGCACACGCTCATCGGCGCCCACGCTCATCCTTCCCTCTCCCGCTCCCCTCCTCTCCGCCCGCCCTGCCATCCGCCCCCCTCCCCTGGTCCCACAGGTTGTCACCTTAGACATGGGTCTCCTGGTGGCAGGGACCAAGTATCGGGGTGAATTCGAGGAGCGACTCAAGAAGCTGATGGACGAGATCAAGAAGGCGGACGACATCATCCTCTTCATCGACGAGGTGCACACGCTCATCGGCGCGGGCGCGGCCGAGGGTGCGATCGACGCGGCCAACATCTTAAAGCCCGCCATGGCGCGTGGGGAGCTGCAGTGCATCGGTGCGACCACGATCGACGAGTACAGGAAGCACATAGAGAAGGACCCGGCGCTCGAGAGGCGGTTCCAGCCGGTGCAGGTGCCGGAGCCATCGGTTGATGAGACGATTCTCATTCTCAAGGGGCTGAGGGAGCGATATGAGATTCACCACAAGCTCAAGTACACGGATGAGGCGCTTGCTGCTGCCGCCCAGCTGTCCTACCAGTACATCAGGTGTGCTGGGTTCGTCTTGAATAGGCCAACGAGCTGCACTAGCAATAGCTTTGTATTCATCTCCCATCTTCTCCACCAACCCTCCACTTCCCTCCTCCCCCGTCCCCTCCCCTTTCTCTCTCCCCCCAAAACAGTGACCGCTTCCTGCCAGACAAGGCAATCGACCTGATCGACGAGGCAGGGTCCCGCGTGCGGCTGCAG